GGACTCAAATTACCCCAAATTAACAAGACTGGGAACATTATGCACTAAATTGTGCTACTAAAAAATTGCAAGATGGTGTTCCGTTTACAATACTTATTGAAAAAATCGCCGAATCATGTTTTAATTCTGGCAGATACGTTTAAAAAATACCTTCTGCAGTTAGTTCAGGTTTCGCTATCTTTGGGAGTACAGGAATTACCAAATTACTGAAGTGTTACTCAAAACAAATGGCACGTCGAACTGACGATTTGGGCAAACCCGACGCCTTTGTGTTCTCTTTAATTGGATTTTTAAGAAGGCTACGTATAACATTATGAAGATTTTATAATGGAAATTGCTCCCAAGTATGAGTGTGAATGCATTCTCTAGTGGCATATGTCTAGATACTTTGCATGCTTGTTGGTCTCAAGCCTTTTCTGAAATATCATATATCGCTTTCTAGTAATAAAAGGCAACAAATTTCGTGCGTTTCATCTAGGTCATTAAAAGTATTTTGAAAGCTCGTTCACTGGGCATGTACGGACAGTGAGTTTTATAATTTGCGTACTAAATTTAGTAAAAAAGACCATTAATCGTCACTAACATAAACGCATTTTGCTAACAGTGATGTTTAAATAAAAGTTTTGTTCCGTTAAGTTCACATGGGTAATTTGTTTCATTACTTCGCCCTTTGGCAGATACACTGAAGCTAACCAGGATCAGTCACTCCAGCTTCCATGTGGGTCGTTCCAGTTAAAGTAAACGTCATGCTATATTACAGGACAGTGAATCCACATTGACATTTTACTTTCCGGAAAATGCATAAATAAAATTACTCTAGTTTTATCATTTCTCTGTTAGAATAATTCAATGCATTAAGGACACTGGTCCTAGTACGTGAACGTTTGTGAATGCAATAAATGACAACGAAAGATAAATTTCTCTAATAAAAGATATAAGTTTTTGAGAAGCAATGCAGTGTGACCAACTTTATAATAGCTAATAATGTTTCTTACTATTTTACATAAATACGAGCCTAAAAATCAAATCACCATAACTTAATTATGCTTAGGACGACTAACACTATTTGCAGCTAAAACCTATTTCACAAATTATGTGATTATGGTAATATGTCAGCACCTAAATTATTTCAAAAGTGGTATCAAAATTAAATAACGATACTTTCGATAATCAAGTACTTCTTCTTAATGTCTACAATTTTATCTTCATTAAAATAGCAAGGGGCTTAAATAAAAGCTTATAACGCATTTAAGCTAAGGTAGATCGAAAATTAATCGGTTTATAGTTGAATTGAACTGTTTTCAAGAAATGGGCTGTTCCCTATATGTTAATATCAGCCTTGATATTAAACTGTATTCATCATATTATAAGTAAATGAATACCTGCAATACTTAGAGTTTGATGTCTCTTCTTAATGCGGCATTAACGTCCGTGGTGGTTTCGCTAAAAATGTGGTGTTCGAGGTGATTCTTCATTACACACTCATAGTATACTGTGCTGCTTAACGACATGTGTAATTGGAGAAACAAATAAGTAATGGCACTTTCAAAAACGTCATTTTGCAAGTAAATATCAAACGAGCTGATCAAATTAAGTCAGCTGTATTTCTGATGCCAATTTGCCATTTAAATTAGATGACAGCAAAAAATTTAGGGGAGGATAAAACGTGCAATCTGAAAAGTTGAGTTCAATGGCATTAGAATAAAACAATAAAACAATCAAGGAGGCTAATTTGGATTCACAATTTGCAATGCCGCCTTCCTGATGAGCTTGGAAATTTCGTGCACAGTGAATCAGTTTCATTAAAAGCTGCTGCTGGCAAAATTTGAGAGTGTGACAACCAGTAGGGAGGGGTAGGATAAAGTTAGCTTAGAATACGCATAGATAATTTAAGGTAGTTCCAGATTTATGAGAAGCGGATTTTCAAAATACTGGAAAGTAAACGAATATGGGTTGCAATTACGCAAATCTCTATGAAGTGTTTTTAAAACCAAAATTAAATCGAACAAGTACTCACTTAATAATAACCTGTTTTTATTGCTAATTGATTCTTTAGGGACACAGCAGTAAAATGGCTAATAGAGACCTCATTTTATTATGATCGCCTGTTCTGTTTCAAAAGTAAAATCGTTGCTAATTTGTTTTTAAACAAACATCCCTCCAGATGGCCAAAAGAAGGCAGAGTAAGTGACTGATGCTAGCCACATTCACTTGATTAACGCTGTTGTAAAATCGTCCACATTTCAAGTGTGCTTATGGAATCACAAAATGCACTGCATCGTTTGATTAGATGCGCAGTTCACTAAATGCAACTTTCTACTCACGGTTAATAGGCCCTTCTAAGTCGTGCAAGTAAATGATAACTTTAAAAGTGACAATGGAACAAGCGTACACAAAGCAAGCTGTGTTCTTAGAACAACGGTTTCAACTGTTTGCGCTTCCAGGATCAAGAAATTACTCCAGTCGATG